ATTCAGCCACAGTGGCTTTAAACCATATAAAAAAATCCTTACTATGCCTTTAAGCTTCCACCCATTTTCTTCTTCTACCTCGTTTTCTTGGTTGATTCTCAATCAAAAGTTTGTGCTCTCTGTATTAATAAGAAACAAACATAAATGTTATATAGTGGAATTTAAAGAATACCAAAAATAATATATAAATATTTAATAAATAAAGTATACCTAATATACTCCCCAACTTCCCTATTACCGCTATTGAATAAAGCATATCTATGTGTATTAACCCAATCTACATCATCCAATGCAAATGCTTTGCCTTTCCTTTTCCTCTTTCCGCCCACTGGATGACCTATCTTTGGAAAAATAGGTGATGGCTCATCATCATCAATGACTTCATCATACTTTCTTGTATATCTATTAAATCTTGTCTTCACACCATCATGTAGATATAACAAGCAAAAAGTTAGCGACTCTTCAGCCAAATACCCCTCCGCTATAGAACCTTCAGGAGCACTTCTATTGCGAATATATAACTTTAATCTACAAAGATATCTCTCTATCGGATACATCCAACAATAGTTAACTGGCCCACAATCCAAAATTTGTTGAACTAAATGAATCGGCAAATGCACCATAATATCAAAAAAGCTAGGTAAAAATATTTTCTCCAGTTGAGAAATATCTCCACAATTTCTGACTACAATTTACAAAGATCATTTAAATTAAGAACTTTGCTACATAAGCCCTTGAAGAAAGCCCCTAATCTGATTAATGGAATAGAAACACGTCTAGGTATAGTCCTTCTCAGAGCAACTGAAAGTAAATACTTTATGAGAAAATAAGCATCGTGTGTCTTATACCCTAATATTTTTTTCTCGTTAACATTGACACACCTCGAGATATTTGATGCGCAACCATGCGGTATTTTAGCATTTTTTAACACACCACAAAATATCTTTTTCTCCTCCATCGTCATCGAAAAGCATGCTTTAGCGAATTTAAAATGTCGACCATCAGCTGACTTGGTAGGGTGTAGATCTCTTCTTAGGCCCATATGCTGCAAATCAAAATGAGCTCTGACATGATTCTTCGTCTTTTCAGGAATGTCTAATGATATCCCAATTATATTATCACACACATTCTTCTCTATGTGCAATAAATCCAGCAAGTGCCGTCATATATTTTGCTCCCAATAAGGCAAATCAAAAAATATTGATCTTTTTTCCCATGGACAGCCCTTTTCTAATTTTTTTTTCTTCTGTTTCTTCCCAAAGTCATTAACAAAGCCACGCAATTCCTTCATAATCTCTATCCCAGATAATGATTCAGGTTTTTTTCCTAACTCAACATGGCCATTAAAGTTTCTTCTATTTAACCGCCATGGATGATTATCACTCAAAAATCGACGATGACCCATGTAACACATTTTCCTACTGTATTTTAAATATGGATGATTATCACTCAAAAATCGACGATGACCCATGTAACACATTTTCCTACTGTATTTTAAATATTAGGAACAAGTGTCATAGTTGCAGCAAGGGCAAGCCAACTTCCCTTAGTACTCCCTCTGAATAACATTGCAAATGCTGAAAAGTCACTTATAGTCCAAAGTAATGCTGCACGAACATAAAATGGTTGTTTATTTGAAGCATCATAAGTAAGCAACCCGACTTCCCATAACTCTTTCAAGTCATCAATCAACGGTTGCAAGTAAACATCGATATTATTCCCAGTGGACTGAGGCCCTAGAATAAGCAAAGACAACATGAAATATTCTGGCTTTAGAGACATCCAGGGTGGTAAATTATAATTTATCAAGATCACTGGCCATGTGCTATGCGAATTGCTCATAGTCCAAAATGGATTAAACCCGTAACTAGCAAAGCCCAGCCTCACCTATATAAGCCGATTCCTTTTTATATCAGCAGTTACATTGCAAGTCCCATAGGATATAAAAAGAAAAAGTGAACTAATGTGGGTGGACATATCATGAAGAGGGCTTTGTACACTCTGAGCAAAAGTTAACATGCTGAGAGATAAGTTAACAGCGATTCTCTACAATTAATAGAGACCTAACTTCCTATATTTCTAGAGAAATGGTTCATTCAGAGCAACCAAGTTACTTTATTTCCATCTCTACAACATTTCTTCATGTTGATTCACTAACACTGTAATATAACCAGATCAATAGGAATCAATTAATGCATGTTTCGAAGATCTCTTACAAGCAACATAAGGCATACATTCAGGAAATTGCAAACATTGTTCACTCATGAAAATATAGGCAGGCAAAATTGTCTAAATTTTACAGTATGCCCAGTGAGCAAAACTTGTTGTCCATCTTTCTAGAAATAACATAAGCAAGTAATAAAATTATTAAAAATTACAAATAGGACTTGAAGAAGCAATTGAAGCTTACAAAATGAAAAATTACAAATTTAATTCATCTATAATATGAAAAAGAAATTGAAGCATGTCCACAATTTTTCCAAATTTCCCGCAGAAAATCAAAAAATTTAAAGATCAATAAAACAATGATCCAATAGTTACTTAAATCAAGATATAAGCAAATCCCCTCAATTTAATTAACCCACTTGCCTAACCTAGTAGCTAAAAATCAAGATATAAGCAAATCCCCTCAATTTAATTAACCCACTTGCCTAACCTAGTAGCTAATCACAACCAACATTCTGTCATTACTAACCTAGTAGCTAATCACAACCAACATTCTGTCATTACCCAATAGAAAACAAATAAATCCAATTTTTTGAGAAGAAATATCTTTTAGGTTAAGGAATCTTACCTCAAGGATCGACCTAGAGTAATGGATCGTGATTAATGCAGCAATCGATGTTATCTGTAGCACCTAAGAAAAATGAAGAAAAGATTTTTAAAGATAGAAAGGGGGAAGAAATTGTAGAGGTCGGAAATGCAAGGAACTGAGGTACCTTGACGAAGAGATTAGTAGCTTAATGACGACGAACAAGACTGGAATGGCAACGAGAGTAGCATGACGACGATATTAGTAGCTCGACGACAAGAATGGCAACAAGCTCGAAGATGAGATCGGAGAGGAGATTTGAGAGAACGACAAACTCTAGAAAACAAGGAGTAGCTCGGCGACAAAACCACGAGATTGGAGATCAGAGAAGAGCTTAGAGATGAGATCCGATCCGAAAACGGCGACGAGATCTTGGCCACAACAATTTTAGGGATCAGAAAATTTTGGAGACGATTTTAGGGATTTCATTTGAGAGAGAGAGAGATATTTGGTTGCGGTTAGACCATAAGCTTTACAAACTTAACTCCCAAACACACGAACAAAGATTAAGCCCATGAACAATTATTTTGCCTATGGCACCATTTTTCACTTAATGTTGTATTAGCTACTGTAAACCGTTACGATTGATATCTAACGCAATAGTTAGAACCGTTGCGCCTTAACCACTGCAATAGATCAATTATGTGGTAGTGATCTAAGGATACTGACCCTTTGTTCATGTGAAACACACACACACATATCCCTGGAGCACTAGGTTGGATCCATCTAAGGATACTGACCCTTTGTTCATATTCACATGATGATTCTTATGTGGCAAACTTTTACCAAGCTTGTTTCTCTTATCCATCTAAGGATACTGACCCTTTGTTCATATTCACATGATAATTCTTATGTGGCAAACTTTTACCAAGCTTGTTCTGCTTTCCATGTAAGAAGCCCCACAAGTTTCTTAATACATAGATTCCCATGTTCCAATCAGAAGATCATCAATGACGGTTTCTTCTTTACCCTGCTCCCTCTACAATAATAATTTAGATCTCATATTTTCACTATCAAAATATAATGACAAACCAGTTTACTCGATCAGAATTTGTTCGTTATACTTAGTGAATAATTTTGACTTATGTCAAATAAAAAATGAAAATTAATGCACGCAATCCAATAAATATGATAAAGTATAATTTTGGATGAAAACATTATCATCAAACTGTATTTTGATAACAGACTAAACACAACATCATGATCAAATATTTGTCAGAATTAACTTCATAAAGATTCAAATATGTTTTACGCTAGCTAGCTGCACCTTAACATTAAAATTAAATACTTCAAATGAATTATCAAAATCATATGTTCACCCTATTTATGTTTTTTAAAGGAATCCTATGTATCTGTCAAACGCCAACACTCACGTCCATCACCTTATCATATTTAATGACTTGTCCCTCTTTGATTGGCCTCACTCATCCTCTCCGTTGAAAACCCCTCTCAATCATTCTCCCCCAAAACAAAAACAACACATTTGCTATATCCACTCCCAAACAGTAATTTTGGGAGTTGGATTGCCAAAAATGCCCTTTTGTTGCCCTTGTGTTATTAAATGCCTTTGTGTTATTAAATGCAACGTAATTAATACTCGATTTTAGCACTAACCGGATTTGTTTCTTGGGATATGTTGTGTTATTAAATGCAACGTAATTAATACTCGATTTTAGCACTAACCGGATTTGTTTCTTGGGATATGTTTCTTAGTAAATGAGATCCATAACAATTTTTACGATTTGAAACATTGACTGCAACGTAATTTGAAACATTGGTTATGCATTTAAGTAAAAATAACAAACTAACACTATTATTTAATTTTTACGATTTGAAACATAATTTTTACAATGGATCTCATTGACTGCAACGTAATTTGAAACATTGGTTATGCATTTAAGTAAAAATAACGATTTTAGCCACTAACCGGATTGCGAATTTTTATGGTGTCCGGTTGGCTTCGAATTCTGATTTCGAATTTTTATAACAATTTTCATTTCCAATACAATTTACACAAATTACATAAAATCGTTTTTTTTCAAAAATAAATTACACCACTCAGAATCAAAATTGATTTTGACCCCTTAGATTTTTACATATAAAAAGGCCAACAGATTAAGTTTTTCAAATCACAATCACAACTCAAACACTCACAACTCAAACACTTACAATTACAATCACAAACAATATGAATTCTGGAGATTACAACTCCATAAATCTTGATGAAGTTGAATTCGTCATCGACGAAACACAAAGTGATCCATTCCAGGATCATAGTTCATATGTAGAGTTTGAAGACATTTCAACCGATTTCGTTAATCCGGAAGGAGGTTTTGCTAGTAGAGAGGACATGGATGCTCATGTAAGATATGTTGCTGGCTTGAGGAACGTTACTTTGGCAATTCGTGATTCGAAGGGAAAAGACGGCCGACGGCCCAAAGTTCGATATTTATGTAGCCAAGGTGGCGGATACAGACCAAAAAAGGTTACTGGAACTAGGTCCACTAAAACGACAAAAAATAATTGTCCATTTTGGTTGGACGGAATGGAGTACCCTAGAGGGCGCTGGTACTTTGAAGTCCGGGAGGGGAGACACAACCATCCATTCCCGTCTCATGCTGTGGGATCTCGTTTAGGTAAAATATCCCCTATTCAACTTGAAGTTATTAGGGAGCAAGAGAATTTTAATTTAAGCCCGAGTAATATGTTGGCGTCCATGAAAAGGGCTGATCCGGAGAACAAATCGTGTACAAGTTTACAATGCTGTCAGTAAAGTAAGGTGCGTGCCCAGAAAAGAGAAGGTCGGACCCCGATGAATAATTTCATCCATTTACTCAGGCAATTGAACTACATGTACGACGTTCGGACTGCTGATGAATCTTCCGAACTTGGAGATATTGTTTTCTGCCACCCGGCTTCTTTTGTGATGGTGAATGCATATCCGGAAGTCATGATGATTGATTGTACGTACAACACCAATGAGTATGACATGCCTCTACTAGAAGTGGTCGGTGCAACAAGTACGGACAAAACGTTCACTATCGCCTACGCATTCATGCGAAATGAGAGACAAGAAAACTACAGGTTTGTGTCTTAATGAATTTTAATTTTTGTCATATGTTTAAATTTAAAATTGTTAATTAACATTATTTAGTACAATTGTTTGTCAATGTTATGAATAATGTTAAATTGAATATTTAGGAGGAGTTAATATTGTTATGAACATTATTAGTATTGTTTAATTAGGAGTTATTATTTTTATGAACATTATTAGAATTGTTTAATTAGGAGGAGTTATTATTTTTATGAACATTATTAGAATTGTTTAATTAGGAGGAGTTATTATTTTTATGAACATTATTAGAATTGTTGAATTAGGAGGAGTTATTATTTTTATGAACATTATTAGAATTGTTGAATTAGGAGGAGTTATTATTTTTATGAACATTATTAGAATTGTTGAATTAGGAGGAGTTATTATTTTTATGAACATTATTAGAATTGTTGAATTAGGAGGAGTTATTATTTTTATGAACATTATTAGAATTGTTGAATTAGGAGTTATTATTTTTATTGGAACGTTATTAGTATTGTTTAATTAGGAGTTATTATTTTTATGAACATTATTAGAATTGTTGAATTAGGAGTTATTATTTTTATTGGAACGTTATTAGTATTGTTTAATTAGGAGTTATTATTTTTATGAACATTATTAGAATTGTTTAATTAGGAGGAGTTATTATTTTTATGAACATTATTAGAATTGTTTAATTAGGAGGTACTGGAGAAACTTCACAAGGTGATGGAAGGCCAAATCTGTGAGATTAAGAAAGTAGCGAGAGTTAACGCTACTAAATCCAACACAGACACCCTTGGAGATACGTTGTTTGTTAATCTGAACAGATCAATCACGTTTAAAGCATTCGGCCTCATAAGGAAAGAAATGCAAGTTTTACAAGAAATGGGTCAGGATCCAACAACGTGTGGTTGCTACCTAAGGAGAACTCATGGTCTACCGTGCGCACATGAGCTTCAGTACTACATCATAAATGGGTATAGCATTCCGTTGGATCAAATACATGATTATTGGAAAAAGTTAGATATTCAGTTTCCAATATTTCCTAATGATGCCGCGGATGGATCCCCGACTCCACCAAATCCAGTGAGGAGGGCGTTGTTCGAAGAAGTCCCTGATATTACTGCACCTCCTACTGCTAAAAAGAAAACCAAGGGTAAAAAGCTCTCTAGTCTCCGTGTACCTTCGGCGTGGGAGAGGGTTGTGAAACAGTACGGATTTAAAAAGTCTCCAAACAAAAAGGTAATACTACATAACTTATGAATTTCTATATTTGAAAATTATGATTTATATTAGTTACTAATTTATTATTCTCAATTTAACATTGTCAACCTATGCATTTGTAAAGGGCCCTGGACGTGTTGCTTCTATCTCTGAATCACAGGGGAGTCCAATGAGCACATCCCAACGTACGGGGCCACCAGTATCACCATCTTCTCCAAATTTCCTCGTACTTCTGCTGGTCGAACTCATATTCGACCTCCGTTTCAACCGGGATCGGGATCCGAGGTTGCGACACGTCAGCCTTCGCAGAAAGGCTGTCGGCTCCCACTGTGGTCGCCAGTTTGTTTCCGTCGAAAGTCACCTTAGTCATTGATTTCATTAAACTTTAAGCGTTACAAATGAATTCAAATAACAAAAGAAAAAGATTACAACTTTCTTGAAAATAAACGCAAGATCCATTTATCGGCTCTTACTTGCGTGGGTTCTTCGCCGGTGCCGGGGTTAATCCGTGGACGACCGCGAATCAGATCCGGTTGATGAAAAATTGGGCAGAGCTTCTACCTCACCAAGGGGGTATTTGCTTGAAGTCCTGGAATCGACAAAGCGATATCAGGGCTCTTCTCGAGATTAAGACAAAGCCTAATCTCAAGGAACGGACGTACGAGCTTCAGATCCTTCGAACGGCTTCTCCTTTGCTCCGAAGTTCGCCGGGATCTCGCTGTCCTTTGCTGAAATTTCGTGCTCCTTCACTCTCCAATCCAGCAGCACCTCGTCCTCTTGATAAAATTCCAGATCCAGAAAATGGAGGCCTTTGGTTCATATTTATAGGCCTCAAAATACGGTTATTTGGATAAGAACAAGGGATTTGGCTCTATCTTTAGTCAACAGCTATTTATAGGCCTCAAAATACGGTTATTTGGATAAGAACAAGGGATTTGGCTCTATCTTTAGTCAACAGTAGCCTAACCTCGTTTGAGGATGATCTCAAGTCAGTTAAGAACCCCTGGAACCGATAAACCCTGCAAAAAACCAATTAAAAACCGTCAAAACGTGTTTGGGACATTAGACTGCGCGGCAGAACAATCTGACCCGCGCTCGCGCGGGTCGGAATAATCCGACCCGCGCTTGCGCGGGTCGGAAACATCCGACCCGCGCATGCGCGGGTCGGAATCATCCGACCCGCGCTTGCGCGGGTCGGATCATTCCGTCCTGCGCTTAGCGCGGGTTCGCCGACGTTCTCCCTTTTTTTTGGTTTCTTTCTTCCGGGACTTGTTCTTGTTGCGTATTCGTTCGATTTGTTGACTTGTATGCTTCGTCGCGAGACCGATCGTCGAACACGCGTTGGTTAACATACGCGTGCTGATCGATGCGCGCGGGCTGATTGACGTGCGCGAGATGATTTGACGTGCGCGCGCTGACCGGCGCGCACGAGTTGGTTGACGTGCGCGCGTTGACCGGCGCGTACGAGTTGGCGAGACCAATCGTCGAACACGCGTTGGTTAACATACGCGTGCTGATCGATGCGCGCGAGTTGGTTGACGTGCGCGCGTTGACCGGCTCGCACGAGTTGGTTTGACGTGCACGTGTGTTTGACTGACGCGCACGCGTTGATTGACGTGCGTGCGTTGACTGGCACGCACGAGTTGATTAACTTGCGCGCGTTGACCGGCGCACACGAGCTGATTGACGTGCGCGCGTTGACTGGCGCGCACGAGGTGATTTGACGTGCACTCGTTGACCGGCGCGCATGAGTTGGTTGACGTGCGCGCGTTGACCGGCGCGCACGAGTTGATTGACGTGCACGCGTTTGACCGACGCGCACGAGTTGGTTTGACGAATCTTCTTGACTCGCCCATTCATTGCTTCGAGTTTCGTGCGGGCTTTTGTAGACAATTTTAGACGCCTACAGATACCCCCTCCAAAGTGTTTCAGCCTCATTCTTTTATAGAGGAGTCTGAAACGCTTTGGATATGATGGATCCCCACCTTCAGTCGGTGTTAAAGGAGCTACAGATGGTTTCGATTCTTGACTTCTCCATATTTTAGCGTATTCTGTATTTTGTCGAATAGCTAAGATTTTCTCGGTACTGCGTTTATCGTCTGACCGTTGTTGAAGCCTTGAACCGGAATTGGTGAGTGGATTTTTTGTTGATATGTCATTGAGTTGACTTTTGGATCAATTGCAACGTGTTGACTGGCGTTGACCTAGGGCTACGCGTTGACCGGCGTTGACCTTAGGGTTTCGAATCGATCGACGTTGACTTTCACGCAACGCGTTGACTGGCGTTGACCTAGGGCTACGCGTTGACCGACGTTGACCTTAGGGTTTCGAATCGATCGGTGTTGA